TTTTCTCCTTCCCACGATTGTCAGTTTCCTAAATGTTTGTAGGACTAGAAAGTGAAAGTCTTGGAATCTTTTGTCAATTCATGAATTTTCTGCTTTAGCAAAGGAAGCCTGGCAAGAGATTTTATTTCCACTTTTGTCTTTGTTAGCAATACCTCATTGCCCTTCTTTGAATTCTCTTAATTTTTTGTTCCTATTATGTTTAAGACAGGACCTACTCCTTGACCTTTTACCTACTCAGAAAGAAGTACTTTTCTTCAAGCAAGGAGGCACTTAGAACTTTCTTAGTATTAATGATCTCCAGTTTCGCAACAAATGTGTATTATATTTCCCCTTTTAACTCTCCCCTTCTCTCTTCAATTGAAAATGTTTTATTGACCAAAGGATGTGATTTTTTAAGAGGGTAAGTTGGTTCTCAGAAGCAATAGCAAGTGCAAAATTAATCTACATTTGTCTTAAGGAAGTAGGAGGAATTTCTCTCCAAGCATGCAGGTAGAATTTCTAAGTGTTTGCTGGTGTTTTCCTGCTCTAACTTGTTGGTGCCTGTCATAGCTGTATTCCTGAGGCATTGTGCAAGCAGGTGGCATAAATGCACCTGGAAGTAGTCCTTCAGGGGCTGCTGGCCCCAAAGGAAGCCTGGCTCTTGGGTGACCCAGCACACCAGTATATCAATCCACTCTTCTAGATTGTCTCCATAGAACCTTGAGGGATAATAGATTTCAAGAAATGTGGAAAAGACTTTGAATTTTCTTTTAATTCACTTATGGTGACAAACTGCTTTCAAAGGCTAAAGTGTGGAAGTATTGATGTATCCTACTTTGCAGTATGATAAGGTCAAATGGAAAGAGCGTTGAATTTGAAGTTTAACCTACATGGGATTGAGTTCTGGTTGTACTACTTACTAGCCATATGTCCCTGCCTGTGAGAGGACATAGAGTTTAGTGTGAAGGGAGACATGGAAAAATTTTCCCAGGGTTGAAAAAAACTGCTTTAACAAGAAACCTGGGTGCATGTGCAAAGGGCCATCAAAGTGTCCAGTAGAGCCAGGGAAAAAAAACAACAAAAAAACCCTTCCCAGAAAGAAGAGCATGGGAGCTGAGACTTTAATTGATGACGTTGGGGTGGGAATGGAGAACAGGAGGAGGTGCGTGACCAGGACAGGGCATGAGCAAGGGCATGGAGGCACGTATGTTCCTAGACTTCAACATGATCAGTATTGTTAGCACATAAAGCCTGAGAAGGATTAAACAGTATCTGAAGATAACAGATAAATATCCTTCAGATCATGACAAATCATGAATAGTATGTAAAGACAGATTTAATCCTACAGGCTGTGGGAAGCCATTTAAGAATTCCAAACCTGAAAGTGTTAGGTAGATTATGTAAGGGTTAGATGGGTTATGTTAGATGGATTACTTGGCAGCAAGGGTTCTTAATCTTTATGAGCCTCAATTGTTTTTTCTGCTCAATGAGCTAATATTAATATCTAACTACTTACAGGATTTTATGAAGATTAAAGAAAAAATTATATAAAAGCACTTGAAAACTTTATATCCCTTCAAAGATTATTATTGTTGTTAGTAATTTTTCCTGAAGTTTAACTTAAAATAATTTGAGTGAAATCTTTTAAGGCACGCCAAAATAAGAGAATTTCTCTTTCAGTTAAATCTGGCAGTCATTTTGGTTTCTGGGTATAACTATAAAATATTGGTAGTTGATTTCAGGATTACCCACATGTAAGAAATGCCTCTGCGACTATTGAGATAAATAGGCCTAAACTAAATATTTTTAGAATGGCTTATTTGGAGTCCTAAGACCTATGGTTAATTCTAGATAGGTTCAGGTGTGTTATCTATGTATAATAAAAATATTGATGGCTGGCCGAGTGGCACGATGGTTAAGAACTGGTTTGGGATGCCAGAGGGCCCCGGTTCAGATCCCACATATGAGGGCCAGTGACACTGCCCTCCACAGCTAAGATGCTGAACAACAGCTCAACCTGGAGCTGGGCTGCTGTGAGTCGCCGGCAATGGCGTAGGCTGCAGCCCCTGCTGCAGTGGGTTGCCATGGGCTACCGTGTGTAGCCAGCAGCCAGCGTGAGTGGCCAGCAGCCGCAGTGAGCGGCCGTCCAGAAGCCGGCGACTGATCTGCCTCACCCGGGAAGAGCGCAATGATGGTGCCAACTTGGGCCAGTAAAGCAACGACCTCCACAACTAGATTGAAGAACAAAAAGGATAGCAACTTGTCTGTTCCCCTTCCCCCAATTCCCTAGCGCTGTTCTCATCCCCCAATTCCCCAATAAAAATCTTTAAAAAAAAAAGGAAAGAATATTATGATACCAAAAAGAAGAATCTTGGATATAAATTATTGGATATAAAAAAATACAGGGATGTAAAGCTGAAATAAAGAAGGTAAGATATAAAAACTATTAGAAATGATAAAAGAACTCAAAAGGTAGCCAGTTCCAAAATAAGTAAAAATATATTTTCTATATATTTGCAGTAATCCAGTCATAAAACATAATGAAGACTATATTATTAATAAGAGTAATATAAAAATACCTAAGAATAAACTAAGAAATATATAAAAGCCAATATGAGAAAAAAATGACAAAATATTGCCAAGAGGCATCAAAGAAAACTTGAAGATATACTATATTCATGGATGGTAGGACGTAATATTGTAAAAATACTGCTGCTTTCACAAAATATATTTTACATATATTTTATGTAACCTCATCTAAATCCAACAGTGTTTTGGGGAGAAGAACAAATTAAATGATTATAATGTATATCTAGAGGGGGGAAAAAAACATTCAGACAAATCCAAGAATAGCCAAGAATATTTGGAAGAGAGGAATTACAATAGGGATTTACTATACTAAAGAGTAAAGTACATTAGTAAAGTAAAGCCACAGTAGTGGCACCGGAATAGCAGACAGATCATAGAGGGGGAAAAAAAATGCCAACATTTATTGAGCAGTTACTCTGTACTTTATGGGTATTTACATAATTTAAATCTCATACAACTCTGAGTTATATAACTCTACTGTTATTATCCCCATTTCACAGATAAGAAAACTGAGATTCAGAGAGGTTTAGTAACTTCCTCAAGGTTATATAAGTATGTGGCAAAGCAGGAATTTAAACCTATGCTGATTCCAGATTCAGTGTTCTTAATTAGCAAAGTTTAATTCTAGGAATTTAATCTTAGATAAATGGGGTATGTAAAAATATTTAAATATACAAGTGTAATTTACAGCAGTTATAAGAGCCAGAAGTTAGAACTAATCTAAATATCAAGCAACAGAGTAGCGGTTAAATAAAGTATAGTACACTTCTACAGTTACAGACTATATGTGGTCACTTAAAATTATATAGAAGAATTTTAGTGACACAATAATGAGAATAATTATATTAAACAGGAAAGTGGATTACAAAACAGTATATACAATATGATCCCATTTTAAAAATGTATATGCAGAGAAAAAAGAGGGCATTTATTCTAAAATATTCTCTGAGTGATGAAATTATGAATTATATATATATATATATATTTTTTTTTTTTTGCTTATAGATATTCTAATTTTTCCACAGTAAAATTTTTCTCTCTAAAGAAAAACAATTGTAATAAAAGTATGTGGTTTGGGTTTAGTTTTTTTTGTTTTTTGTTTTTTCTAAGTTGCAGAAAAGGAGTTTATTAGAAGAAAAAAATACATTTCAAAGAAGCAGAAGTGGGAGAAAAAGTAGAGAATGGCTCAAGGGCCATTATTAGAAAAGAAAGTACACTCCAAAGAGTTTGGAGTGGGCCCCGAGTAGACGCAAGGCTCAAAATGCTCAAAAATAAAAAGCGGGTTATTTTTTTTGTTTTTGTTTTAAAAGTTGCAGAAAAGGAGTTTATTAGAAGTAAAAATACATTTCAAAGAAGCAGAAGCAGGCCCAAGCAGTAGAGAATGGCTCAAGGGCCATTATTAGAAAAGAAAGGACACTGAAGAGTTTGGAGCGGGCTGAGCAAAGGAAGCTCAAAAGGCTCAAGGGAGCCCCAGGGCAAGCACCAGGGCCAGGGCTAGGGAGTCACTGTTAGGAGAAAAAAGATACTCCAGAGAGCTTGGAACGGGCCCCAAGCAGATGCAAGGCTCAAAATGCTCAAAAGGCCTGGGTTTAATTTTTTAAAAAGGTGTGTGAGGTGGTTGTCATTCCTTCACCCTGCCAGCTGGTTTAGCTGCCCCTCTGTACTTCTTTAGTCCCCTGTGCTTCCCTTTATCCCAGTATATTGTCATAGTGTATTATCACTTACCCCTCCAACTCCTACTTCTATATTCTTGGTGCCTAGAACAATGTCTGGTGCCAGTCGTTGTTTCAATTAGTATTTCAGTAAAGAAAGATGAAGGAGAGTGGGGACGAAGGGGAGCAGGAGGGGGAATGGAAAGCCCCCTACAGAGATATGTGGCTGAGGTTATTTTTCCAGCTGCATTCTTCAAGATCCCAAAGTAAGTAAGTGGTAGATGATATATTACTTGTATAATTCTTTATACTAATCCAGAAAATGGGTTGACAAAAAAAAAAAAAGACTTTGATCTCAGGACCACTTATCTTTAAGTTCTGATTGTGGGAAACCAAAAATATATGTAAAGGAATTTACCTGCAAAAAAAAAGAGGGAAGGGGTTCATACATTTGGAGAAACCAGAGTAAATCTTTCAGAATTATTGAGATAAGTGAAGGCTATTTCAGTAGAAAATGCTATTGTGCCACCCCCCATCCTTCCTTTCCTTCCACCAGTTGTATCCAGAAAGCCATTTTTAAACAAAAGATTTGGCAGATGAGTGGGGTTTTGCCTGGTTGCCTTTCAGACTTTTCTGAGTAAAAGATCCTAAGGGAGCTTGAGAATTGCCTGCTGGTCCAGCTGTGCACGTCATGTATCTATTTAAACATTTAATTTGATTGGAGAAAAAGCCAGAAAAATGAGCATAATGTAACTCCTGGTGTTTTATTTTTCTTTCCAGGAGGGGGAACAGTTTGTGAAGAAAATCGGTGGTATTTTTGCCTTCAAGGTGAAGGATGGCCCTGGGGGTAAAGAAGCCACCTGGGTGGTGGATGTGAAAAACGGCAAAGGATCAGTGCATCCTAACTCAGGTCAGTGCAATAATGACGTCATTTATAGGAACTGAGAAGTTCACAAAGGAAAATGGGAGCCTGCTCTGGGCTGGCTTTCGGACCTTGTTAAAAGAACCAGTGCATCCTTGGGAACAGGAATAGGTCACAGCGGCCTCCTCCCAAAGACTGGGAGGCTCTATCATAGAGTCACCAATCTTAGGCTTTGGAATTAGACAAACTTGGGTTAGAGCCCTGGTCTTACCACTCAGAGATTCTGGCCTTGAATAAATTATTTAACTTCTCTGAGCCTCGGTTTTCTCACCTGTACATGGGAATAATAAGTGGTACCTATTTCACAGGGTTGATGGGAGGATTAAGAGAATTATCTCTTAATCTGTAAAGCACATGGTCCAGTGTATGGCTATGTGGCTTGAAAGACCTGTCTATACTCACTATCTCTTCTTCTTCTCATCCCAGTTGTCCTTGAACCCACTCTAGTCAGCTTTTGTCCTCATCACTATCCCCCTGTTCTTGTCATGGTCACCAATTACCATGTTGCTAAAGTCAGTGGTTAATTTCCAGCCCTCATGATAATATTGTTATTCCAGGCTTTCCTCTTACCTACTCCTTCTTGGCCTCTCTTCCTGTTTTCTCCTCATCTCCAAATTTCTAAACATTGGAGTGCTCCAAGGCTCAGTTCTATCTACTTTGGACATCTCATTTGTCTCATGCTTTTTAAAACTATCTCTACACTAATGACTCCTAGATATCATCAGCATGGACCCAGTCCCTGAACTCTAAGGTGTAGATCCAGCTGCTTCATTGACAAGTTTACCTGGATCCTTAATAGGTATCCCAAAGCTAACATGTGTACAACTGAACTTCTGGTCTTCCTCCCGTTCCCCTTTAATTACGTGCTTTCACTGTCTTCCCCATCTCGGTAAATTGTTCCTCTGTCACAGCAGTTCTTAGTCCAGAAACCTTAAAGTCATCATTGGTTCCTCTTTTTCTCATACTCTACAGTCTAATCCATCAGCAAATTCTACTCTTCTCTTATACTACCACCTTGGCCTAACTTCCCATCATTTTTTTGCCTGATCTCCCTTTTTCTAACCTTGCCCCCTACAGATTCTTCACACACCAACTGGAGTGGTTATTTTAAAACTGAAGTCAGATTGTGACCCTGCTCTGCTTAAAACCACCCAGTGGCTGTCAGCTCACTCAGAATAAAAGCCAGAGTTCTTAGAATGGCACCACATGATCTGGCCCCAGTGTTCTGTCCCTCACTTTGCTCCATTCACACTGGCCTCCTTGCTATTGCTTGAACATGGAGTGTTCCCAGTTCAAGGGCTTTCTACTTTGTTCCCTCTGCCTGGAATTGTCTTCCCTCAGATATCCTCATGGCTTGTTCCCTCATTTCCTTTGGATCTTTGTCCAAATGTCATCTTGTCAGGAAGCCCTTCCCTAACCACATTTTGAAAATCACAACCCCATTACCATTCCCTGTTTTTCTTTATGGTACTTACCGCCATTGGATATACCATATAATATTTTACTTATTTATTTACTTACTGCTCAGCTCCCCCTCTTGAATTGTAAGCTACATGATGAAGGCAGAGCTTTTTGCCTGTTAGGCTCACCACCCCATTCCCAATGCCTAGAATAGTACCTGACACATGGTAGGCCTTCAGTAAAATAACGTAAAAATGAACAGCAGAATGAATGAATGATGCTTAGTAAGCATTCAGTAAGTGATAGCTATATTGTATGTTATGTTTCTCTTGTTGAAGAGAGCCCAGTGCCACTAAGAAACATCATGGATGAGAACCAGCTTTTTGGAGGGCTTAAAATACTATGCTTTGAATTTTGAAAGTGATTTAATATATAATCAAGCTATTAAAGCTTTTTAAGAAGAAAAGTGAAAGTCAGAGCTGTGTTTTAGAGGATGAAGCTGGTGCATTGGACTTGATGAATTGGGAAGGGAGAAATCAGAGGCAGAGAGCAATTAGGAGCAGCAGAAAGGATAGCCTGTTTAAGTGAGCAGAAAGGATAGCCTGAGTGTTGGCAGTGAGAAAAAAGGATGTTGTTACAGGGTCACTGCCAAGGATATTTGGGGCAAAGTTGATGGAACCTGGAAGCTGTTTGGGAGTAGGAGGTCTATCAAGGATGATAGAGTTCATTATTGATACATTATTGAGGGTGCTCCTGGAAGAGAGGTTGACATCAGGAGTCCAGGTATAAGGAAGGTGAGCCTTAGCAAGGAGGGACGGACACTTCTTTCTGTGAGAGGGGACATAAATATTCAGGGGCTTTTGAAGTAGAGTGGAGGTTGGCAGTGCTTCTGAAATTGAGTTTAGGGCTTGGAGACAGGAGAAAATGTTAAGAGCAGTGTTACATGATGCGCTGTTGAATAAGGAATCAACTAAAGATTAATGAAGGAAAAGCTGAGCAGTAGTAAGGGCATCTGTCTGGTGTGGGCAGGATGGCGATGTTGTGGAAAGTTCCTAAATTATCTATAATCTTTTTCTTTTTCTCAAAATCAGTGGACAGAAAAATAACTACATGTTTGCCTTCTATGAGCTGCCACTCGAATGTGGTATGGAAAGAAAAACTGAATGCTTCATCTAGATTCTAGCTTTTAGAAATTAAAAAGAACTTTTGGGAAATAGTGCCAACTTTTTTTAATAACTGAAGGTTAATAGTTACTTCAGGATTATATTCTGATATGCCCAGGCAGATGTTAAGGTGATTTAAAAGTCTTTTTCTGCTGCTTTGTTATTGGTGTATGTTTGTCATGAAAGATAATATGCTGATGGAAAGCTATTGCATAACTTCAGAAAAACCTTGTCCCATGCATATGGACTCTGGCAGTGAGCTCTCCCCACATTAGGTGCCCCATCCCAGACCTAAAGGGATTTTACCCTGGGGCAGGGTAATTTCTGCTGAAACTGACACTTGTTGGCAGCCAGGAGTGGCGCTGAAATATGGACTTACCCAGTAAAAGCCACCACTGGAAATTGCCAGCTCCTTTTACATCAGCCAACAAATGACCGTTTGTTAGAGATTAGCTACGTTAAAGCATTAATAACCTGTCCTAGTTTGAACTGGCATCTTAAAGAGAATTGCTGGTTCTTTTGGCATGTACATAGTGTTGAGAGATTTACTTACTGTTAACGAAGTAAGATTTACTTAAATGTATTTCATTTGCTTATATTCTAAGAGTTTGGTAATGATTATACTTTAGATTTTGTGCATTTTCCATCTTTTTTTTCCTGCCGAGGTGTCTTTTAGTACCTTCTCCGTGAATTCTGCCCCTCCCTCTTCTCCTTTGAAACCAACTCACATAGCATATCCCTAGGAAGCCAACTTTGATTAGTCCGACATGACATTATTCTTTCATTCCTTTATTCTTCCTTCTCAGCACTTACTTGAGTTCTCAACCCTGCCCTTTTGTGAGGAACACGATCTAGAAAGCCTCAGTCTCTACCATCCACAAGGTATAGTAGAAAGAGACCCCAAACCTCGGTTCAGACCCTGGCTCTGTCGTTTACTAAGCATATCTCTTCCCTGAGTCCAATTGTCTCAGAAAATGGTGAGAATAATTTCTATTTATGGAGTTGTTGTGGGAATTAAATGAGATGAGGTATGTAAAGCCCTTTTAGCATAGTAAGTGCTCAGTAAATCATTGCTTCCTTCCCAGCCCATGTATTAGACACTAATTTTGCTTGAACACATTAGACTTCTCGAAAAGATGTGGGGAACTGAGAAAGCATCTGGGTTTCAGCAAATGCTGATGAGTTGGTGAAGGCCCAGTTACAACTGAATTGTTAAATGTTTGTATCCTTCCTGTAACAAAAGGAAGCCATAGGGCTTAAGATTTGGAAGTATGGGCTTTAGCTGCTTTCAGGAACCTGCTTTCAGGCCTAGCTCAGCTGCTTATTAGCTGTATGATCTTGGGAAGTTCTTTGACCTCTCTGACCCTCATAGAGTTGTTCTGACTATCAAATGAGTTCATGTAAGTGAAGTTCTTGGCATAGTGAGAGCTCAGTAAATGCTGATGTTCTATCAGCTGCAATGGCGGCAGCAACAGACTTCACTTCCTAAAGGCACCTTTCAATGATTGAGAGTCCTTTCTTGGAATATTAGGATCAAGTCCAACTATAAATCAAGTCCAACTATCTCAATTTGCTAGCTTTTTTTTTTTCCTCCCTATTTGATGTTACATATCTATAAGAGAACTGGATTTTCTTGATTAATTCCTTCATTTTCAAGGCTTCACACCTTTTGTTTCCAGTTATAAGAGAAAATTTTGTTAGAGACAAAGATGGAATGCCCATTGAATCTCATTCTGTTTAGAGGCTATCTCTGAGTTGTAACATATATAATAAAAACTTTTCATTTTCAGTCTTGTTTTAGTTATTTAATAATATGGGCATGCTGTGCTTTAATAGTTTACCACTGTCTTCGCCCACTCAGGCTGCTATAGCAAACATACCACAGACTGGGTGGCTTATAAATAACAGAAATTTATTTCTCACGGCCCTGGAGGCTGGAAGTACGAGACGAAGGTGCCAGCATGGCCACATTTGGTGAGGGCCCTCTTCCTGGTTCATAGCCAGCGTCTTCTCTTGTGGGCTCACGTGGTGAAAGGGACTAGGAGTCTCTTTGGAGGCTCTTTTTTAAGGTACTAATTCCATCTATTAGGGTTCCATCCTCATGACCTCCCAAAGGCCCTACCTACTAATACCATCACGTTGGGCATTAGGATTTTTTGGAGGGGTGACACAAACATTTAAACCATAGCTACTCCTATCTCTTTTATTAAGGCATAGACTATCTGATTAGTTATTGGGTCATAGTTTGCTAATCTATTGAAGTCTACATTATTTATTTATTCAACAAGTATTTATTGATTGCCTTTTCTGTATCAAGCACTCTTCAAGGACCTGGGTAGTGAACAAAACTGACAAGGGCCTTGCCCCAATGAAGTTTTCATACTATTGGACAAATACAGACAGAAAGCAAATATACAAATAAATAAGGTAGTTTCAGATAAGTGCAATGAAGAAAAATAAAACAGACTAGTGAGACAGAAAGTGACTTGGTTTCTGGGAGAGGCCCCAATTTAATTTGAGGAGGAGCCAACTGTTATAGCGCTATTGTTATATTCATTGCTTAAAACACTGCAGGAAAATGTGATTTCTTGGTGAATTTTTCCTTTTGCACCTCTCATGTCCAAGGTAGACATGGCTGATTTAGCAATGAGATTATTAATTGAGTCTTTGTTGTATAGTCTTTCATTATGCCTTGATGATATTAAAATTAATATTTAAAAAACTGGTATAAGTAATATACATTATAGACAAAATTAGAAAAGATAGAGAAAATGAAAAAATTACTGTCCTGCAATTCCACCATCTATTTCAGGGGTTGACAAACGATGGCCTGTGGGCCAAATCCAACCCACCACCTGGTTTTCTTTTTTGGTTTTGTGCAAGATTGTTATTGAAGTCTAGCCTGTAATAAAGGGCATAAATCTGAAGCGTATGTACAGCTTGATAATGTTAACAAACGAATGCATCTCCCAGATCAAGACGCAGAGTGATGCGAGCACCTCAGAAACCTCGCTCACTACCCCTCCCATCGCTGTCCACTCCCCAAAAGAGCCACTATTCCAAATCCTGTCACCAGGATTTTATTTATTTTGGAAATTCATGTAAATGGAACCATAAAATATTTATTACTCTTTTAGTCTCGCTTCTTTTGCTCAGCATTGTAAGATTCATTAATATTGTTGCATGTAAGCAGTAGTTCATTTTTACTCCATGAGTACACCAGAATTTATTTATTCATTCCATGGTTGATGTATCTTTGTAGTGTTTCCATTTTGGGATCTTACAAATAAAGCCATTATAAACATTTTCATATGTGTCTTTTAGTGGACATATGTATTCATTCCATTTGGCATATAACCAGGAATAGAAATACTAAGCCATAAGCTACAATACAATCAAACAGTTTTCAGTGTGGATATACTATTTTACATTCCCTTCCACATTATATGAGAGTTACATTTACTCTACATTTTTGACAGTACATGGTACTGTCAGTCCTTTTTTCAATCAGGTTCATTGAAGTATAGTTTAAATACAATAAAGTCTACCCTTTCTTGGGGCGGTTGGTTATTAGCTCAGTTGGTTAGAACGCAGTGCTCATAACACCAAGTTTGCCTGTTTGATCCCCACGCTCTCCACAACTAGATTGAAACAACTACTTGACTTAGAGCTGATGGGTCCTGGAAAAAAACACTGTTCCCCAATAAAAATTTACAAAATTAATTTTTAAAAATCTATCCTTTTTTGATGTACAAGTTTCTGAATCTAAACAAATGCATAGTTTTGTAACCACCACCAAAAATCGATAGAGAATATTTCCATCACCCCAAAAAGTATCACATACCTTTGTAGTCAATCTCCTTCTCCCACCCCCAGGCCCTGGCAACCACAAATCTTGTGTCCCTGCAGTTTTACTTTTTGTAGAATGTCTTATAAATGGATACAGTATGCAGCTTTCAGAGCATGCTTTTTTTCACCAAGATTCATTCATGTTGTTGTATGTCTGAGTAGTTTGTTCCGCTTTGTCCTTTTTGTTGCTCAGTAGTTTGTCCACTCCCCAGGTGATACATATTTAGGTTTTTTCCAGTTTTTTGCAGTTTGAATAAGACCACTCTAAACATACCAGTTTTTGTGTGGACATATGTTTTCATTTCTCTTGAGTAAACACCTAAAAGTAGGATTACTAGGTCAACAGGGCGTGTGTATGGTAGCTTTATAAGAAACTTCCAGACTGTTTTCTCAGGTGGCTATACCATTTTACAGTCCCACCAGCATTGCATTATCTGTCAGTTGCTCCTCATCCTTACCAGCACTGGATAGTACCTTTTATTATTTTTTGACATTCATTCTAATATTATATAGCAGTATCTCATCCATGCTTTAAATTTTCATTTTCCCGTTGATGAATGAAGTTGGGCAATGTTTCATGTGCTTTCTTTGCCATTTGGAGATCCTCTTTTGTACAGTGCCCATTTATGTTATTTGCTCATTTTTGTATTGGATTATCTAACCTTTTCTAATTGAATGAGGCGTTTTATATATATATTTTGGATACAAGTTCTTTGTCAGATATATTAATTGCAAATATCTTCTCCCTCTGGGTATGCTACCTGTTTTGAAAATAGTTTTTTGCAACATAGCCCTACTCATTTGTTTTATCTAAGGCTGCTTTTAAGATATGGGGGCAGAGTTGAGTAGTTGCAATAGATAAAATGGAAACTATTTAGTGTCTGATCCTCTACAGAAGTTTCTTAACCCCTGATCTAGGTAAATGTATTCATTTTATATTACTGCATAACAAATTACCACAAACTTAGTGGCTTAAGACAACGCAAACATTGAGTACATTACAGTTTCCGTGGGGAAGTGGGCTGAGGACAGCTTAGCTGGGCCCTCTGCGTAGGTCCTCACAGACTGGGTTGTCATCTGGAGACTTGACAGGGGGAGGGTCCAGTCCAAGCTTACTCAGGTTGCTGGCAGAATTCGTTTCCTTGCAGCTTTAGATTTTTTACTGGCTATAAGTCAGAGCCTGCCCTCAGCTCCTAAAAGCCGGCAACGTGCTGCGTGGCTCTCTCCACACACAGTTCACAGCATAGCAGCTAGCTTATTCAGTGTCAGCAGGAGAGTAAGAGCGAGTCTGCTAGCAAGCAAGACAGAGTCTAATATGACATCCCACCACCTTTGCCACATTCTGTTGGCTAAAAGCAAGTAAGTGACGGGTCTTGCCTGTACTTGAGGGTAGGGGACCATACAAAGCCATGAACACCAGGAAGCAGGACTCATGGGGGCCGTGTTAGAGTCTGTGCACCACAATAACTATTATTAATATATTGGTGTCTATAAGTTTACATATGTTTTTCTTATACATATATAATTGAATATCGGTGTTTAAGCAAAAATGGGATCATGCTTACAGTTTGTTTTACGATTGGTTTATATAACAGTATCATGAACAGTATAATGAACATTTTTTTTTTAGGCCAGAAAATGTAGATGCATATCATTTAATGGCTGCATTGTATCCCATTAAATGAACATACCATCATTTATTTAGTCAATTCCCTCTTGTTAGATGTCAAAGTTGCTTGTCGTTTTACCAGGCTGCCACAGAAGTGTGTGTGAGTGCCCGTTTCCCCACTCTGCTCTGGTACTGGCTGTGATTCTGGTGCAGCAGTGGCTTCTGATGAAAATGTATACGTAAAACTGAACTTTTCTCCTTCCTTCTACATATCTCTGGTTTAGATAAGAAGGCCGACTGCACAATCACAATGGCTGACTCGGACTTACTGGCTTTAATGACTGGGAAAATGAATCCTCAGTCGGTAAGTATGATGGCACTTCTATCCTTCTAGTAGGTGGGTCTTTTAGCCCATTCCACTTCATCTCCTGCCTCAGTCTCATACCACAAAGTGCAAAGTGGTCAAACCCACACAACTCAGCATTCCCCCAAATGTTCACTTAACAAATGACAAACATCTGTGGAGCAAACTAGGTGCCAGACACTGTCCTGTGTGCTGAAAATGCTCAGGGCCCCACAGTTTGGTACGAGGCAGACCTGCAAAGAGATAAGTGCAGCCAAATAGCCAACGTGCCACGCCTGGTTTGTGGTCGGGGAGGCCGGGGAAGGAGCAGCCATGTCTTCCTGGGCATCAGAGAAAGGCTTATAGAGGAAGTGACACTTGAGCTGCGTCCTAAGGGTGACGAGAAGTGAGCAGTCCAGGTGGCAGGAGGGAGTGGTGTGAACAAAAGTGTGACCTCACATTTCGTGTCTTTGCCCATGCTGTTTGCCTGAGTTGTCCTTCCCTAACAAATTCCTTGTCTCTCAAAATAAGCTCAGGTGTCATCTCCAAAAACCTCCTTCCTAGTGGTTGCGGACCTGTAGGCAGCCCCTCTGCTGGGCCACTTCCTGGGCTGCTAGCTTAGCACTTGTCAAATTTTATTAGTCATAATGTGCCTATCTTCCCTATTAGATTGTGGGTATCTCAAAGGAACAAACCATGTCTCAACTTGTCTTCATGTCTCTAGAACTTAGCATGATGCCTGATGTATTTAGGTTTTCACAATTGCTGGATTAAATTGTATTTGTCTAAAATGTATTCATGCCTTGTATAGTTTTTCCTGGTCCCCAAATTGTCAAGGGTCTTGTACTCTAGTTGCATGTAGTGAACAGACTTGATATACTGAACTTTCCATTAGCCACAGATAACAAAAAGGAAACTAAGTTGCTTCTTTCTGTTGTAACCTTATTTTTTTGTTGTTGCCTTAACCTGATTTGTTTTAGGTCTTTTTCCTGTGGTCCCCTGGTAATTTGAAAGATTGGATAAAACAACTAAATCTGACTCCCGCTTGTTACTACTTTTTAAAATGCTTTTTCTGAGCATCTAAGCATATTTCAGTTTATGTGTTGACCAATGAGAGACGTGCATCTGTGATGTTTCAACTGAATACACACCGTTGGCACTGACATTTCCACCCACTGAGCCCGCCCCAAAAATCTGGACAGAACAGAGGCCACCATATAGGAGCTGGCTGTCATCCTCCCTCCCACCCACTGTTTCTCGCTCCGCTGTGCACTCACTCCATGCACTTCCTTGGCAAGGTGATCACACTTCACACATCAGCTGCCCTCGGTCTCTCAGTTTGTCTGTTTACCACACATTTTGGGGAGCAAAGTGTCACCTTATTTTTCTTGAACACCTGTTAGCACTCAAAGGCATTAACGATAAAAATGACAGACTTTTCTATTAATGTGCTAATGGCCTTCCCTTATGCTCAGTTGAGGATTTGACTGGAAACCATTAAATGCAGTGGAAATTATAATTTCAGTGTTTGGCTGCAGTTGAAACAACGTAGTGTACTCTCCAGCAGCAAGCACACATGAAGAACACCTAGGGGCCAGATTAAAGTGACTCTTATATTTGGGTTCTCTAAAGGGTGAAGATTCATGTTTTCTCTAAAATAATTAGTAAATAAGTCATTTTCTCTTTTAATTTAAAAAAGGAAAAGATGGTGAGTTTCTCTTCTAGGTGCTGCCGGTCCATATTTTTAAAGGACATATGTTAAATATATTGTGTTCTGAGACACCTGACCTTTAAGTCATCAGACAGAAGGCTGTGTGCCATATAGAAAGGAAATATTTAGTTTGTCCAGACAGAGGAGGGAATAAAAAAGGAATTAGTCACCCTTACCAGAGGTGTAGAAAAAGCAGAGCCCTGCATTCCCATGGATGAGGCAGCAGAGCTCCTAACTTCCTAACATACTTGTTAAAAAGCTATGATGGTGAGGAACTTTCTTCGCCTAGCCCTTCCTTATTTTAAGAACTGAGTTAAAGGACTGAGATCAGGGAGAATTTCATGCTATGTTCCCAGTTTTGATATTCCTCTAAAGTTTTCCTGGGATTTTGTTACATGATAAATTTAGCAAGCGTCACGTGACCTAATCCCAAGCATTTGTTACATGGAACAAATTGTGGCTCTGCTCTTCAGAGGTTGGATTCTTCTTCTCGAGCCAAAGATGAACGCAAGCACCTCCGTCTCAGCAGGCTGCCTGGCCTCCCTCCGTAGGGATAAATCCTTTATCGTGGAGACCCAAAAGGGAAAGAATTTGGTGACATTTCATCCATATTGTATTCCAAGAGTTTCTAAGTGGGCTATACACATGCTTTTTCTCTCGGCAGACTTCTGAAAGTTTCAGTTCATATTCCTGATCCACATGTAATGTGTCTAAACAAAATCAATCGAGAATGTACCCACTTAGTCTAATATTTGGAAAATGTACTGCCATTGAGAAAGGCAGGTAAAGGCAGACTCAATTTCTAAGAGAAGACATTTGGTGGGGGGAGGGGGGTTGTTACTTTGTGAGGGTGAAAAGGATAACTATTGCATTGTTCTGTACACCTGAAACTAACAAAATTAAAAAAAAAAAAAGACATTTGGGAAAGATGGGCCTTTTGACTGCAGTTCCTTCCTTTGAAAGAATCTGGGTCTAATTCTACTCCAGAAAGAAAATTTCATTTTTTGAAGAAAGTATCAGAGACCTGATAAATAAATGATCCCAGGGCTGGATAGTCTGGAAACATCAGTAATCTCAAAATAAAAAAAAACACCAAGTAATAAATTCTCTTTCTTCTTACTCACAGGCCTTCTTTCAAGGCAAATTGAAAATCGCGGGCAACATGGGCATGGCTATGAAGTTACAAAATCTTCAGCTTCAGCCAGGAAAAGCTAAGCTGTGAAGAACTTGCTTTGCCTACCTTGGAAAAATCAAGATGAGACATATAGATATATAGCCATATATTTCATTGTCAAAGCTTAGACTGAAACCACGCATTGGCAAATAGCATGAGATCTGTTTTTAAATGGGTGTGACCAGTCCTGTTTTTCCTTGAGCTCTGGGTGAACAGAGCCTGGTGGTATTACTACTGCTTTGCTGAACTGCATACAACTGTGCATTACAAAGTTAATATGGTAATTATGGTTTGGGGTAAAATGGAATTTGAGAATAAAATTAGGAACGGCAAAATCCCAAAACTATGTAAACAAAAGCTCTCATTTTGCTTATAAAGTATATTTAAGGATTATTCTGCTGAAGATTGAATTTAAGTTTTCCTTGGGAGAACTAGGGAAGAAACAAAATACCAGTAGCTGGCCAGTAATTAGTGTTGTGCACTTAATGACCTTAATCTATTTTACATGAATAGTTTTTAAAATTCTGCACTGGAATTAAAAAAAAAAATTTTAATTTTGCATTTTGTGCCATCAATATGGTATTTTCTTCCCAAATCTAAATAAAAGAGATATGATCAGAGCTTTGGGGTGAGCGGGAATTTATAGTTATACACATACCTATTTTTTAAACAAAAATATTTTTAAATGGGTTTTCCTTCTTGAAAAATCAGTGTTAGAGTCAAAACGCTGTTAAAAATAATTGAATAAAATTTTCTTTGAGATGCACAGTTTTAAAATTATAATCTCATATTAATTTAATTAAGTTTATAAAGCTCTCAGGCCCTTGTTATGATTTCCCTTTTTCATATGTTTCGTTTAATTAATTATCCACATATATCTTTCATCCTAGTTTTTCTAATGCTAATGTTATTTCTTATAACTCAGTAAGATATGGGGTAAAATAATGCTTTTGGAAGAAAATTTAATAGAAAATTAAAATAGCTCTTCCTGATCTCCTTTGTTTTTATTGTGTATGTTATTTTTGTTCAGGGTTGTCTAAATGATGGAGAGTAAAGAGAAACATTGGGGGATTTACAGCCTGTGTTATCCAGACGTTATCTGCTGGTTACTTTGACATGATCACTAGTCCTTGGTTAGGGAGGTCGTGTGCTGTAGTGGAAGGAGCACTTGACTAGGAGCCAGGAGTCTTGCTTCTTAGGCAGATAATAGCTGCCTGCCTGGGCCTGTTTGCTAAACTGTTAAAAGAAGGGGTTTAAGTAGATGGTCTCTAAGATTTCTTATGCTCCGATCATCCTGTGAGTCTACTCAGAGCCCAGCAGAACTGTCTGGGAGCTACCCAGGCCCCACCTTTCTGAGGTTAACACATTGCTTCATCCCAAGATGGTCAGAGGCAAACAGCAGGTGGTTTCATTCGTTTGTTTAGACGTTTGGAGCCCGTACGAATCAAATCAGGACTCGAATCAAATCAGGACTGTGGGTCAGATCCCTGTAGACCATTTAATTTTGCATGTTCTGTGACCAGAACACTACAGCATTTGGTAATGGGGCAAGAAGGTAAATTAACCCAATATAAGTTGATCTCAAGTCCCATAAAATGAACTCAGAACACAGACCTCCTTCCTAATCATAGTAGCTTCTTCCTCTGAGATGAAAAGGACTTCAAGAAAAAAGTTCTAACAGAATGTCTGATTTGTCTGTAGTTTGGATTTGCTACCTCATTCTGCCTTCACTTGTCCCAGCTAACATAAGATATCTGTCATAGGCTTTTGGGTGAGCCTGAAAAAAACAAAAACAAACAGAAAAACAAAAACAGGTTCCTGAAGTAGAAATATATTCATATGTAAGTGCAACTTATAGGTATACTAGAAAATTACTTAGTGATGAAATATAGAAGCAGTTTAACTCCTAGGGAAGCATGGTTTGGAGGAAAAAGTTTAATAGGTCTGGGTTAAAACTGCTGCTGTTACTGGTTTTGCTACTTGAGCAGGTTGGGTCTCAGTTGCCTGATTTATAAAGTGGAGATCTTAATATTGACCACCTAGGATTACTGAGAACCTAGAGAGATAGCATATGTAATGTACCTAAATGAGTGTTAGGTACATCATAGTCATTCTTGGTTCCCTTACTGTAAATGTGAGTTTCCTTTCTGTCCCTACCACTACCTCTGCCTCTTGCCTCTGATATATGATATGATGTGTATAGTGTTTTCTTATGTCCCACTTTTGAGTCTTTCATTTGATCATTCAACAAATATTTATTGAGTGCTTACCATGTATAGGGTGCTGTATTGAGGGTGCAGTGCCAGGCAATGGATATAGCGCTGAGCTCCCCCCCGTTCTGGTACGTACAGCCTGATGGGAGAGACAGTCAATCAAAGAGATGAATAATTATTACAGATTATTACCATGCAGGATTATTACCCAGGGTGCTGGGATGGAGAATCACAGTGAGGGTTTTCCTTTAATAAAGTGGTTAAGGGAGACATCTCTGAGGAGGTAATAGTTAAGCGGAGAGCTAAAGGTTGAGGTGTGAACCATACAAAGAACATTGCATGAAAGGGTAGAAAGGGGCTTGGCTTGTTTTAAAAATTGCAAAGGGGCCAATGTGAGTAGACTCTAGGGAACGGGAAGGACAGGCCCACACTGAGGTAGGATAGGTACATAGGAGCCAGTTCTACTGGAATTTGTTATTTGTGGTAAGGCATTTGTATGTCATTCTTAGCGCAGTTGGGAGCTGTTGAAGATGTAGCTTTACGTATGTTTATTTCTTGCTCATGCTGCATTTCCACTTTGCCATCAATTCCTAAGTCAAGAACCCAGGCTAATGGAGCAGCTACTCTGGAGCATTGTGATCATCATGGCAGAAGAAGAGAAAAAGCTAAAGTACATGCTGGCTCTTAAAGTCTCCATTCGGAAGTGATCCGTATCACTTTCACGCTCATTTCGTTATCCAAAGAAAGCCACATGCCCCCCACCTGACTTCACAATCTTATTATATACCAGAAACAGAGAACGGAGTAAGAATATTTTTTGAAAGAACCGATGCACACAGAAGGGGGGGAATGAAATTGTCACTGAAGCTGCTCTTTGGAGAATGTACTGAGGATAGGGGGCTGGAGAGTGGGGGTCCAGATGCAAGAAGATGGTGTGTCCTGGACTAGTGTGTGAGTGGTAGAGACAGGCGTGGAAAAGTAAGCAGAGCTGACAGACTTGTGACTGGATGTAGAGGCAAGAATGATTTTCAGTGACTGGCCAGGTGGAAAGGTGGGTCATGATCGGAATGATGAGGGGACAAGCACGTTTTAGGGAGAGTGGTTGAAATAATAAGCTCCACTTTTGAACTTGTTAACTTTGAGGTGCCCGAGAGATTTCCTAGTGGAGATACTAAGGAGGCAGTTGCATTTACAAGACGAGCTCAGAAGTGAGGTCCGTTTGGAGATACACATTTGGAAGTCGTGAGCAGATGGGTGGTACTTAAAGCTACAAGGGTGGATGATATCACCCGAGGAGAGAGCAAGGGGGGTTGGAGTAAGCCTTGAGGAACTTCAGCTTCTAGAGATCAGGTAGAGGAGGAGGAATCGGGCAAAGAAGATGAGGGAAAGGGCTAGAGAAGTGGAGGGAAATTTCCCGAGAATAGAGTACGGTATAACCAAAAAGTGGGAGTGATCAACTGTATCCTATGCTACTGTGAGGTCAAGCAGGATGACGTCTGAAAAGCATCTACTGGATTAAACTAGGCAACATGGAAGTCTCTGGCGATCATTACAAAAATCACTAAAAACGAGATTGGAATTGGTTTCATAAGGAGCTATGAATAATAACGGAAAAGTTCCATTTGGTAGTGACACATTCAGTTTCCATGTGATTACTACAGAGCAAGCGCATTGGCTGATATTTTTAATTGCAAATGAGTTCATCTTGCACGTTGTGCTGTTCTCTGTGCCCACCCTCACCAGTCTCTTCCTGCCCCCTACCCCCTGCCCACCACCTTATCCACTTGGCAAATTGCTTTTCATCCTTTTTATGCCTTAGCTTTCAGGAAGCTGTCCCATTTGCCACAAATAGAACTAATCATTTCTTCGTAGTAATTTATTGCTGTCTCCCACCAAAGAGGGAGCTCCTTAAGGGCTGGGAGGACTGCATCTCGTGCATCCATTTTGATTCCCCCAGCACGAACTCTTGGCTTACTGTCATTAAGTGAGTGAATGAGATAAGCTGAACAACAGTTTTATATCCACAGGGGACATTTCTGAGGATAGGAACCTCATCACAGAAATGCATTCTCTATTACAATGACCTTTTTTTGCCCTGATGAAAGAACATTAAAAATTCTCTGTTAGCCTGATTTCTCCTGCCCTTTCTTTGAAAATATTTGCAGCTTCTCAGAACAGTATTTCAACTTAAGATTGAAGAAGCCTGAAGTAATAAATATGAGAAGTCAGTTACTTGGTGGTTTTATTACACGTTTTTAAAAACAAAGTGGCCTAGTGGGTTGGTTCTGTGTGCATTAAAATCAGGAGTCTTGTTGCTGCTGTACTTGTCTAGATAAATTCAAACTCTCACGTTTCTACAATCCTTGTTGCATATGTAGAAAAACGATAATGGAGAGCATGATTAGGAAGCTGAGGGTAGTGGTGGGAGGGGCAGAGGAGTCACTGAGGTGTGATCAGAAGAATCTAGAATCAGGTCCTGCCTTCTGGAAGCTAAATTAGGACATGGCACTTAAGCCTTGCCAGCCTTTAGTTTCTTCCTCTGCGCAAGGGGGACACTGTTAGTTTTTTTTAATAATCTCATTAGCCTGAACACCTTAATGGTAGAAATTCTGTTATTCGTCTTTGTATCTCTAGTATTAATACAGTGTCTGCCAGAATAAGCATCAATAAAAATTTCTTGAACAAAGGAGGATTAGGCAGTGATCATTAACGTTCTTTTTAAATTGTAAAACACCTTGTCAAGTGTTCAATCACATATACATATAAACTTCAGTTTTCCTCATATATGTCACCTTAGAAGAAAAAAATATGAGATTAAATCCTATAATGAACAGCTTTATCTTCTGAAACTTTAGCAGTTTCAGAAAATAATACATTTAGAGCAGCAGCCTGGTATAGTGGGAAAACTTGGGGCCCATCAGATGAGGGTTTTGGTCCTTGCTCTGGCACTTAAACAGCTCTGGGACCTTGAGATAATGACTCTGAGCCTGTTTCTCCCTCTGTAAAAGGGATAATAATGCACACCTTGTTGGTTGTGAGGATTAGCAATTGTAGCTGTAAAATGTCAAACACATAATAGGTCCTCGATAGATGGTACCTGATGGTTGGTATTTGAGAAAAAAAATTTATTATTTTTTTAACATGAAGGAATTTATTCATTGGAACATTTTGTGACAATCCTTTGAGTTCAGATAATCAGCTGGCTTCGGGATTGGGGACAACTTGCACTTTTTATTGACTATGTTCTTACATTTTCCTTAAGAATCATTAAACTTCCATAGTTTCTGTAACTAAATGAACGAATATAGAATTATTTAGTTTGATGTTCAGAAGGTTTGCATTTCAGCCAAAGATTACAGTTCTAGCTGCCCATGGCATGGTTGCTTTTTGAACACAAAGAAGTTGCTTGATGTTATTGACTAGAAAAAGAAGGTAATCGGCCAGATTGTACTTCTGGGTAAATTACTCTGTGGGATTGAGTTTGTTTGGAGACCACACTGATATGAATTAGGAATTTGGGGTATAGTACTAAACAGCTAATGAGGGCCCTGAAAGATTTATGCGTTATCAGGAACCACAGCCACGTCTGGCCAAACTTTAGAGTTTTTCTCAATAGAGAGTTACAAAATCTACTGGAAAGGTCCAGTATTAATATCTATCTGGAGACTGCTGCAAACAAACAGCTCCTTAGTTCTTGGTAAGAACACAGAATATTGGGCCAGATTTCTGGCCCTTAAGAAATGTGGCGTCTGATTCCATTTGGCAGGAAGTTTAATCTGGTATGGAATTTTAGCCAGACTTCTTGGAGAAATATATTTTTTAATGTATCATATCCAAAGCTTACTGCAAAAAGTGATGTCCATTTAGTCTACCTATTCTATTAGTCGTCATTTAAATACTTTGTAAATAATACTTTGTAAATAGTGCTGTTTACAGCAGCATGTAGTAAATACTTTTAGTTCCTGAATTTGTGGCCATAAACTTTTATGTAAAATTGGGGGAAATTCATCGTAGTCTGCTGTTTATTTAAATTGCATGCAGAGAAGCAGTACGTGCTACAATTTTCGAACCAGCTACCAAGTTGGTTATTGTATAATTCACCTTTTAGAATATGGCACCTTCTGTACTGTATAGAACACTTGGTTCAAGATTAAACACCTCATTCATTAAAACTGAAATGTGTGGAAAAGAAGCTCATAGATGAAGACAGCAGTGTAAGAGAAAGGTTAACGTAGGGGGGCTGAAAGGAGCCTTGAGCTTGGCAAAATGATACGCAAGGGTAGTGTGTGATGACAGTTCACAAATATTTGAAAGATGGGAAGACCAAAGGGGGGAAGAAATGATTTTGCTTCGCTAATAGAAACAATGGGAAGAACTATAGAAAGGGAAATTTCAGACTAAAAATCAGGTGAACTGCCTGACTATAAAAATTTGTCATGAGTGGACTGAAAGCTCCAACCACAGAAAGTTCCTAAACCCAGCTGGCAAAATGGCATTTCGTTGTGGGAGATGGACCTCAACGGTGGCTGAGAAAGCATCTGAATGGGAGAAAATATTTCATTGACAGCCACTCTTGAGGATTTCTCCTTTTGTCATTTATCAAAAACTTGTTTTGTCTTGAATGGGCCAGAAAGAAGACTTGATCCTTTTTATATTGTTCATACCCTGACTTGTTCCATGGCTTACTAGATATCTTTGAAAGAATCAGAAAGGAGTATTCAAAAGCTTTTAAATTTTCACAGTGTGAAAGCAGCCTCATTTTCTTTTGTTTGTTTTTTACCTTTTTTTAGTCCACTTTTTATTTAGCTTAAGGTAGAATTTTCAAGCCACGGAATGGTAGCTGCAGTGTAAGAGCCAACTTGAGTTGGAGTTGGAACGTGAAGACCCGAGTTTGAATTCTGGTCACCTGAGCAAGTTACTTACCCTCCCTGAGCCTCAGTTTCCTACAATAAGGGGGCAATAATACTATCATGTTTATTGTGAAGATTAAGTGAAATGATGTGTGGGGGAAATGGTGCCATGTGCCAGTTTTAGTTATGTTTGTATTCGTTTTTTATTGCTGCTGTAACAAATTACCACAAATTTAGTGGCTTAACTCGACACAAATTTATTATCTCATAGTTCTGTAGCTCAGAAGTCTGGGTTGGGTCAGCTGGTTTCTTGGCTCCAGGTCTCACAAGACCAAAGTCAAACTGGCTGCACTGGACTCTTACCTGAGGGCTCTGGGGGAGAATCTGCCCTATGCCCCTGCAGGATGTTCGCAGAATTCAGTTATGTGCTGCTGGGGGACTGAAGTTTCTGTTTCCTTGCCAGCAGCCTGGGATTGTTCTCAGCTTCTAGAGGCTGCCTGCATTCCCTTCGACTTCAAAGCTAGTGGAGTCCTCACATTTTGAATCTCTCCAATCTCTCCTTCTGCCTCACCTCTTCTACCCTTAGCCAGATAAAGGTCTGTTTTTAAGAGCTCATATGATTAGGTTAGGCCCACTGGGATAATCCAAGATAATCCCCCTATTTAAAAGTCCATAACCTTAATTACATCTACAAAGCCCCTTTTCCCATATAGTGTAACGTATCACAGGCTCTAGGGATTAGGGTATGGACATCTTTGAGGGTTCATTCTGCCTACTTAAATGATGGTATTTTAGGACAAGAAAGGGACCTTACAGAACATAAAATGAGGTTCTTGCCAGGGAGGGTTTACAATCCAGCGGGGAAAGAGATGAAAAACATAATATACAGGCAAGGAAAGATCAATAATAGATTGGGATATTATAGGAGCCCGGAAGACTTTCTCTGTACCTGACTTGGCCTGTGGTTTTTCCATCATACCCTGCTTATCCTTTAATGTCTTTTATCAAGATCCTTCTGATGGGATCCACATACACAAAACAACACCATGAGATTTGCTAAATGTCCAGAAAATCAAGCTGCTGTCATAGCTCAGTATTTGGGACTGTGCCCCTTACTTGTGCTTCACCTCAAAGTCAGAGGAATTATTCTCTGATGATGAGTGAAGGATAACAACACCATATCTCCCCTTGTCTTGTTCCTTATCTTCCTTTTTCCTCATCAACCCCCTTGAAAGCCTTCTTGTCCTTCACTCCTAGTTCTCTCTGGCCATAGGCATGTCTTTATTCCTTTCCTCTTATGAGTTTCTTTGTTTCTTATTTTGAATTAGAAGGCACGCGCCCTGGGCAATGCAGAGGCTTCTGTTTAATTATTGCAACTTGTTATTTCTATTTTAATAATGTTTCCTGGATGTATAGTCAGGTCTCAGTGATAGATTGTAATAATAGCAGCTGCCTTTTATTGAATACTTAACCACATGCCAGGTGCTGTGCAGAGTCCTGTACTTCCAATTTTCTCATTTAATTTAGACATTCTTTGTAGGTACTATTTTTATCTTCCTTTGGACCCAGGGGGGTTTGAACCCAAGTCTAATAAGTCCAAAGCTGGTACTTGACACCATGCACTTAAAACAGGAGCTGAAACTGGGGGGCAGCCTGGAACCAAAGCAGCACAAGTAGATTCAGGAAACCTAAATTCCAAACTCAACTCTGTCTTTATAGCCCTTCTGAAAGTTAGAGGATTTGCTTCTACAGCCCCATGATTGCCTCTGTTTTCCACCAGAAACACTCAAAGTGATTCCTCCATATTACACTTCAGACAGGTGGTTTTAGCCTCTCTCTACAGCACTGGACAGCCACAGAGCAGGTGTGGGCATGCACTGGCTTGGCATTCCACAGAAGAGCCTATTTGTGTGTGTGTGTGTGTGTGTGTGTGTGTGTGTGTGTGTGTGTGTGTGTCAGGGGGAGATAAGTGGTGTGCCCTGTGGCTGGTCCCAGCAGTTACAGGAAATAGAATACCTTCCCTTCAGGGTTGGGATGTTTAAGATATTAAGGATTTAACATGGTGCCTGCAACTTAGTTGGCACTCAGGATGTGCTGTTTCTCATTGTCCTTCTAGAATATTTTCTTTAGTTCATGGGTAGTCAAGCCAGTAGACTCATTCTAGCTCCACTTGACTCTAAGGTCAATGCTGAGGAGACACGAGATGCATCTCTGTGTTGGCCCCTGTCCAATCTGTGAATCATACCAACTCATCAGTTTGAGCTCAGAGAGAACTAGAATATGAGACCAAAGAAGGCAAAATATTTCCCCTTTCCAGTCCTGCTAAGTTGTTGAGTTACTGATAGAATGGAAACAGACAGTCCTAGGTTCAAATCCAGGCTCTGCACTTGCCTGCTCAAGTCACCTGCCTGTTTCCATCATGGAAAGAACTTGAGCTGGGGAGAAATGGTAAATCTGGCCATTTTACTTAGTTACTCAATCACTTACCCGTCCTAAGGCTGTCTGCTTACCGATGAATGGGGGGTGACTGCAGTTCTTGCAGGACTGTGAAGATTACAGAGTGATGCATGTGGTACAATCAGGATGCAGCAGCAGAAGCCAGTGAAAGGTCTAGAGACTTTATAGGAGCCATTCGTTCATTAATTCATTCAGAGCCTTGGCAATTTAGGTTGAGCAATTGGTTCCAAGTTTGAGTTATGTCTTCTCCCTCTCTAGCAGGGGGGCAGCCAGGTAAGGTGGCTGTGGGTGCCCTGCCCACAGGCCAGAGCAGGTATGAGGGGAGAGCCTGTTAGGCAGTGGAGGTGCCAAGTACCACCTAAACCCAGCCCCACCACGTTCAACCGCCAAAGCCCCTGGCGCCAAACAGTGTTGCTTCAGCTGCTAATAGTTAATGCTCCTTGACTTGGGAACGTTTTCAGCTCCTGGGAGCAACACGGTGCCACGAGGGCTCACTCCTCACTTCTCTTGTCTCCCTGCGACTGGGATCCACATGCACCCTACTCGCAGCCCGATTTACCCTCCTTCATGGCTCACCAGGTTGTGGGCTCAGGGCCATCGTTGGGGTAGGGGTTGGGAAGGGTGGGGAACTTTTCCGGGAAGGGGCCCAGCAGGGTGTTGGCTGGCGGCCCTGTAAGCTACGGCTCAGGACCCCAGGGTGGGAGCGTGAACGGAAAGGTACTCGTGCTTGGAGCGGTTGCAAAATCCTGTGTCATGAGGAAAAAACTGAGCTCTGACGCACTTGATAGAAGGGGCTCTCTCCCCGGCCCTCCATTCAGGTGCTGGGGCCTAAAGGGGGTCCAGTTCCACTGCGGAAGGCTGGGAACTAGGAAGCGTTGCAGGCTAGACACCCCGCCTTTCCAGTCTCCTAGGGGTGGGGGCGTGGTACTGCGGCCCCGCCAGGACCAAGAGGGGGAGAGGGGTCGGTGCAGCGGCTCAGCCTCCCCGGGAAGTGGGGCCCGGCCAAGTCCAACGTGGGGAGGGGGCAGGCCCTCCCCTCCCCGCGCCTGTGAGGACCCTCCGCCCGTGTCCGGAGGAGGCCAGCGTCCAGCAGATGCACGCGGGTGGGGGTGGGGGGGTGCGGGG